AGAGGAAGGCCAAAGAACACATTACGTTGGGAAATAGAAGCGGATACGAAAGGGCTGAATAAGAACTGGAAAGGATTGCCCAGGACAGGGTTGGATGGAGAATGCTGGTGAGCGGCCTATGCTCCTTCACGAAGAGTAACAGGCGAAAGATAAAAAATAGAAACCACAGAACATGTGTAACATTTTAATTTAATAATGCTCAGCAGTATCCATAAGGAATCAGAATCAAGACTTGTAGGTTCTGTAAAACACTGAGTTGTAGTTCAACATTTCACATTTCTCAACTTAGCCAGTTTATTCTATAGCACAGACACAATCGAATGTCATCGGTAAAGAGACTCTTCATTATCAGCCTGAGTGACTCTACAGATCAGTAATTCCAACTAAAATTTCGATATATTTGTTTACTCAACGGATGGTTTTGAAGAGAGCAGGAACAAAGATTGGTGCAGAATAATATGAATTCATTTTATTTCGTTAGGTTCTCATCAGCTTCTTACAACCTAAAATATTTGAAATTCAACGTTGTTACAGATATTGACATACTTATACATCAGAGGGTGATGAAGGATGAATATATGTAACATGATGTAGTAAATACTCCGTTAGAGTTAATGAGGTCATTAAATTTTTGTTTCGAATATTTAGAGTTTGGGAGGGAAGGTTCCATAACATAGAAATAGTGATTAGAACTCATGGAATTAAAACACATTAGATAATTATGTAATGAAGTAACTAAAAATAGACTAATGGTAATAAAGAGAGATATGAATTGAAATTGGTCAGTTATGAATGATGTAATTATTAAATTCAGAAAGTGTTGGAATGACATAACAAACAAAAGGGGGAGGGGTAATGTTACCACGGTAAAGAAATATTTGTTACTGTTTCTTTTTGTATACAAAGATTTGGTTTTAAACGTTTAATTGCCATCGCTTCGGCGAATTTCAAAAGGTTTGAATTTGATTGTTAATCACGTTGAAGGACTTCAGTATATCGACTTCATGTCCTGTGTCAAGGAGATGTCTCGCGATAGCGTTGCTGAATACTTATAGTCCGTTTGATCTCAAACCCTTCGGAATATGTTCTTTCAATCGGACGTAGGCTCTCCCTTCTGTTCTACCAATGTAACCGCTTTGGCAGATACATGTAAATTTGTATACTCATCTGTATATATATATATATATATATATATATATATATATATATATATATATATATATATATTTGTATAATCATCCTTCATCACCCTCTGATGTATTACTTACTTACTTACACTATTCTTGAAGTTTCAGAAAGTTACTACAACTTTTGGTGTGATAAGAACCTCTACTGTACACAATAATATTGAAAAAAATGAATTGGAACAGTGAACGGCAATAATAAGCAACATCTTTTGAAGGGAAAAATGAAAGTGGAAGCTGTGGTATTTACAAATTATTTACATCCCGCGTGTCGACAATAAATAATATTTCGAAGACTTTAAAAATGAAGAGCAATATTCAATTACAAGAAATGTAGTTTGCTATCTCAACATATTCATTGACCTCATTTGCTTCAGTAAACACTGAAAACAATCTGCTTTTTGATCCACTGCTGATCAGCTATAGTTCAGTGCTAGGTTAGTGAACTTGGTAAAAATATCCTGATCATTAAGAAATAGTCACCATAAAAACATTATTACGATTATAAATCCTCCTGGTTTACTTTTAAAGGTCGAAAGAAGCAATATAATTTATCTGAAGGCTATATCTACAGACCATAGTACAAGCTTATTACATTAGAATTTAAGTCAAGAGATCTTTAAAAATGAGGTGAGTGATTTAATTTGGAATCAATGGTTTTAACTCAGTTACTTACACGTAGATTTAGGCAACCGATAAGTATATATTGTTTTCTCAAAACAAATGACTTAAGACCTACTGCTTCTGCCACTGATTTAGAGTATACGAGTGAGATAGGTAATAACGGGTGAAGACGACTGAACAATCGTTTCAGTGCCTTGAGGGGCAACGAAAGTTTTAGAATAAGGTAAAGCACTGGTCTGAGCCAAAATCTAGTCTGATCACACAGGGTGGATAAATTAAAAGCATTAACCACTTTATTTATCCTAAGTCTGATTGTCCCTGCTGAAATAGCGGCTAACGAAACATCGGCATAAACACATGATACGTAATCGACTTTGCCAGCTTACAACTTATATGGGACAAGTGAGATATTTAAATGCCTGTCCAAGAGTGACTGCACTGAGCAGTTATTCGCTTTGTATTATTTTACTGGATTTATAGGATAGTTGAGTGTTTGACCAGAATATTTTTAAAGCATTGTTCCACTTGAAAAAGCTAGCAGCTGAGCAATGGATAAGTAAAGCGTAGAGTACAGTGTAAATCAGGTTGACAAAGTTCTGAACTCTCCATAAGTCAAGTGGCTTGGATATTTTTTAAAACAAATAAATTACTTACGCCTGTTACTCCTAATGGAGCATAGGCCGCCGACCAGCATTCTCCAACCCACTTTGTCCTGGGTCTTCTTTTCTAGTTCCATCCATCTCTTGTTCATTTTTTCTCATGTCTATCTCTATTTCCTGGCGTAATGTGTTCTTTGGTCTTCATCTCCTCCTTCGACCTTGAGGATTCCAGGTGAGGGCTTGTCTTGTGACGCGGTTGGGTGCTTTCCTCAATGTGTGTCCTATCCACTTCCAGCGCTTCTTCCTGGTTTGTTCCTCCGCTGGTATCTGGTTTGCTCTCTCCCTTAGTATGTTGTTGCTAATAGTGTCCGGCCAACGGATTCGAAGTATTTTGCGTAGACAACTGTTAATAAACACCTGTATCTTCTGGATGATAGCTTTCGTGGTTTTCCAGGATTCCGCCCTTACAGTAGATCTGTGTTGACATTTGTATTGAAAATTCTGACCTTGGTGTTGGTTGCCAATTGTTTTGAGTTCCAGATGTTCTTCAGTTGTAAATATGCTGCTCTCGCTTTGCCGATCCGTGCCTTCACATCTGCATCAGATCCACCGTGCTCATCGATGATGCTGCCCAAATATGTAAAGGTTTTTACATCTTCCAAATCTTCTCCGTCAATTGTGATTTGATTCGTGCATGTTGTGCTAAATCGGAGAATCTTGCTTTTCCCTTTGTGTATATTGAGACCTAAATGCTGCTATTCTGATCGTCTTCTCCTGCATTTGTTGTTGCGTATGCGATAGGAGAGCCAGATCATCTGCGAAGTCTAGATCATCCAATTGCATCCTAGATGTCCACTGTATCTCGTGCTCACCTTCAGATGTTGACGTCTTCATGATCCAGTCGATCACCAGGAGAAAGAGAAAAAATTATTCAAACCATTTAAACTCTGATGTATAAGTATGTCAATATCTGTAACAACGTTGAATTTCAAATATTTTAGGTTGTAAGCAGCTGATGAGAACCTAACGAAATAAAATGAATTCATATTATTCTGCACCAACCTTTGTTCTTGCTCTCTTTAAAATAATAAAGGGAACTATGTGGATGGTTTTGAATTACTACCAGAAATGTTGATTTTTGTTTTTACTGATAGACTCTATCAAAAATACATTCAAGAATAAAAAGGTATCCAAATGTCAACAGCTAAATTTGTAGAAGGTAAGAAACTTTTTCTTGCATATATGTAGTCATATTTCTCTGTCCATTTGAAAACCGACTGTTCAATAATAAATAATTAATGAAGTTCATTTATATGTTTGGTTAGCGTATTTGTTACACAAAATCTACGCCAAGTGAACACTTTATTTTGATATCCATCGTGTTAATAAAATGAGTGTACATACCTTATGTTAACCGTGGAATAGAAGCGCAAGAAATTAGTAACTGTACAATTACCTTATATTTTGCTACATTCCAATCTCTGTATGTGAAGGGCAACTGTAGACCATGAAACAGAATGTACCTCATATCCTCTCGTCAAATGAATCGTGATGACTCTCCACATTTGAAACCTGGCTGTTGGAAATTAGAGTTATTTGTAAACCTAAAACTAGTGGTTGGAAGAATCACTGAATCACGTCTATATTTCGCCAGTTTAAATCAAAACATTTGGGGAACGTGGAACATTGAATTCAAATCCAGTGGTCTACAACTATAGTGGACACAGAGACAACGAAGCTTTAGGTTGGATTCCTCGGAGAGTTGTGTTTGCTTATCGTTGGAGGGTTCTGATTCAGAACAATGCAATTTGTCTGTAATTGCTAGTTTTCAATGATTTTTTGGATGTTAGTCTTTAATGAAAACTAACTTTAAATAAAAGAGATTAGTTTAGTCACCACTTAACAGATAAATTACCATCACATTTCATAAATTCCTGCCAGGACTCCCACAAATTCTGAACAAATAATCAATCTCAGGCTAATGTAGAACGTCTATTCAGCACTCAACTTTAGAGAATCCTTTGTTTGATAGAAAAGTACTTTTTAACATTTCCTTTACACTTCTTATCTGTTAATATCTCATAACTAATCACCGAATTAATTGTGAGTTCATAAACAACTAAGTGACCAAAATTATTCCATGATATTACTTATAAAGTTAAAAGATTTGCCATAAACCATTGTAGTAATTAATCATGTACTCCTCAGTGACTAGCTTAGAGATGTATTTCTGGAGTCCTATTGAGATGCCGTGGCCAGTAGAGTTCAATCATATCGAATTTGAAGTAGTTACCTATCGATTACATTAGGTGGTTGTGTAATATTACGAACCAATTGAACTTAATCCTGTAAATTATTTTATCCTGATTCAATGGTGTAAGGCTTAAGAACTCACGCGCAAGACCGAACATCACGGGTTCAGTCCATACTAGGATAAAACAGCTGTTCAATGCTTCTCGGTTTTCAGTAGTTGTCAAACTAAGATCACTGCACAGTGTTGACTGTGAATTTACCAAAAGTTTTATGAATACCAACAAGTCTATCCTCCCCAACTCCAGCCCAAAAACGTTATATTTGAAAAATAATACTGATTATACCACAGGAAATGTATTTGCAAGAATAGTGAAGATACATATACGAAGATCAAGTGAAGTACTACCATTGTCTTACTCACTCATGAACAGATATATGCAATTAGCACAAAATGTAATGTACAGTTTTGTTTTAGATCACCGGGATCAGTCAATTAAGGCCTATTGCATTTGTGAAACAAGTATCTATTCTTATTATGTAACTACTAAAATTAATACTCGAAGAACTTGAAGACAAACAAAAATTTAAGCGGAAAAATGAATAATAAATATTAAGTATAAAAAACCTTAGTCATACAAATGTTCTTTTTTTTTAAAAAAAAGAGAAAGAATACTATGAATTCACTAGATATTTTTCAAAAAATCCCTGAAGTACATTTAGACGATGATCGATTTCATCTAATTCTGCATCAGTATCATGAATTGTTTTCTCTTTTTTAGTATAAATGTTTCGGTTACTTGGTTGAGCTGTAACATAAATGATACAAATATTTAACATATAAACAATTTAAAAGTAAAATAAAACAAAATAAATTATAATCTTTTGTTTTCTTCTGATAATTAAAAACGACTTCCATCATGAATCGATGTATGTACTTGAAATTTCTGTACTTTTATAGTAAGTTAAACTGTAATAATTAATCTTTTAACCTTAATGCACTGCATAACATGATATTGAAAACTAAGCACAGTGTTTGGCTTATACAACAAGTATATTACCTTTTAATAAGTGTGTCACAATCATTCAATTACCATCAACGTTGTAACTTAATCAATAGTTTGATCATTACCAAGTTTCATTGATGGTCAGTTATATTTGTTATTTTTATTTTTTTCAACCAATATCAAAGTCAGAATCTTCAATACGAACGTCAAGGCAGTTCTACTGTACAGAGCTGAAACTTGGAGAACTACAACAACCACGATCAAGAAGGTACAAGTATTTATCAATGGCTGTCTACGCAAGATACTCAACATCCATTGGCCAGATACCATCAGCAACAGCCTTTTGTGGGAGAAAACCAACCAGCTTCCAGCTGAAGAAGAAATTAGGAAAAGACGATGGAGTTCATGGATAGGATATACGTTGAGGAAGTCATCAAACCGCATTACGAGACAAGCGCTAACTTGGAATCCTGAAGGGAAGAGGAAAAGAGGAAGGCCAAAGAACACATTACGTCGGGAAATAGAAGCGGATACGAAAGGGCTGAATAAGAACTGGAAAGGATTGCCCAGGACAGGGTTGGTTTGAGAATGCTGGTGAGCGGCCTATGCTCCTTCGCGAGGAGTAACAGGCGTAAGTAAGAGTAAGTAAGTATATTTGTTATTTCTATTTTTTTAAAATTCAGTGATTATTTAGCATATAAACACATAATACGACGCGTCAGTATTGGAACAGGTTATTTTTAAAAGTAAATAAATGAACCAATTATCTGATCAGTTTTTTGATTGAATAATTTAAATTCCATGCAGTAAAATTAAGATTTGAATAACAGTAGAGGTGATATAGACAAAAAAGAATAGTAACGTGAATATCAAGTTCTTGTACTTTAGCATCGACTTGATACATATCAAACAAGTTTCTGTAACTCAGCAACTAAGGTAATTAGCCCAATACAAAACAGTGCAAATTACACTAAATGCTCAATGGTTTGATCTGAATATGATGTTATTTATATTTTTTTTATAGAGAAAACTAGATGATTTTTTAAAATCAAGTAAATATTCCCGCAACGATAACAAAAATATAAACGGTAGACAACATGAACCGCATGAAGTTCAAATGTTAGTCAGTGAAAGTAAACTCGAGGATTGAATCCTAGTGTGTTTTTTTACCATACGTAAGATAATAACAAAGGGTCATTACTGAACAATTAGATTCTGTGTTAAAATTAGTCAGTATTATTTGATTTATAAGCGTTTCTCGTTTGTCAGTATTAACACTTAGGCAATTTTGAAAACGAGACTGACTCAGATGTTGCTTGGAAAGATATACAAACAGCTGTGGAAACAGCAGCGACGTCTATTGCACTGATAAACTCTCGTAAACTTACCCCATCGGGCTTTGAACACAACAACAAGCGAAAAAAAGTCAGATCTAAGTTAACCAATAGTCTAAGGAATGATCATGGGCAGTGATGGGTAACGAAAGCAAAATAGATGGAAAGAACAGCGACTGTAGGTAACACCAGAAAGCTTTTCAGACCGATGAAAGAAACTGGAATTAACAAGTCAAGTGTAAGTGAGACTATCTCGGAAAAAGACGACACTCTTATTCGCTCTCAGTCTAGACGTTTAAAACGATGTGCGGAACACATTAAGGGATAGTTCGGCAGACATTCAGCTACCCTAGAACTACCGTTTCCAATAATTATCGGACGCCTAACTAAGACTCGTGAACTGCAAATACGAGAGAATCAAGCTGGCTTCAGACCTGGTTGTGGATGCATAGACCACATATTCACCGTTCGTCAGGTTCTAGAACACAGGCATACTTATCGGCGTCCGACAATGGTGGTCTTCCTTGATTTAAAAGCAGCGTTTGAATCTGTAGACCGAGAGGTTCTGTGGCAGTGTCTGTCATTGAAAGGCGTACCTCAGAAGTACATAAACCTTGTGAAGGCTCTTTACTCAAACACTAACAGTCGAGTCAGAGCTCATGGCGAAATGTCATCTGATTTTGCAACCTCAAGTGGTGTCCGTCAAGGCTGTCCACTTCCTTCATTTTTGTTCAATTTCATCATAGACCTCCTGATGGAAATAACATTCTTGTCAACTGAATTCTCCAGCATTGATCTCCTATCAGGTGGTCCACTTGTCGACTTAAAATACGCAGATGACATAGTTCTGTTTGGTGAAGACGCTGATGAAATGCAGAGTCTTTTGGTAGCACTGAGCAACAATGCCAGGATGTTTGGGATGCGCTTCTCTCCCTCTAAATGCAAGTTGTTGCTTCAGGACTGGTCTGCATCAACACCTGAACTAAGGATAGGGAGTGAAGTAGTCGAACGCGTCGACAACTTCACTTATCTTGGAAGTCTGATCGACCCTGATGGGTCGGTGTCTCACGAAATCTCACAACGGATTCGAAAAGCTCGTTTGGCCTTTGCCAACTTACGTCATCTATGGCGAAGGCGAGATATCCGTCTATCAATTAAGGGACGAGTACACTGCGCGGCAGTTCGTTCCGTTCTACTATACGGCTGTGAAACATGGCCTTTAAGAGTAGAAGATATTCGTAAGTTATTAGTATTTGACCACAGATGCCTTAGAAATATTGCTCGCATCTGCTGGGATCACCGGGTAAGTAATAGTGAGGTTAGACGCAGGGTATTAGGGAATGATGGTAAATCAGTTGATGAGGTTGTAAATCTTCATCGAATGAAATAATCGGGCTACGTATCATGTGTACCTGAACACCGATTACCACGACGTGCAATGCTGACTAGTGTTGAAGACTGTTGGAAGAAAGTTGTGGGCGGCTAAATCAAAACGTGGCATCAGTCCATAAAGTCACTGGATTCTAGTCTGAATCATGATGGTAGATGCAGACTACTTGGTTGAGGTTCGCGTGACTGCCGTAACCAATGGTTGTAGACTCTGAGTGACATGGCTCAGAATCGATCACAATGGCGTCGGTATATACACTCTTTGTCTTCCTTTAAACCGTGAGATTAAAATCGCTTTATACCTTTCTTTCTACGAACTAATTCTTTCTTCCTGTACTGTATTCCCTATACACAATCTTTCTTTTATATATTATTACCACTTAATTAACTATTTCTATGAATTTGTTATTCACCTTATCGCGCTAATGAGGTGTGGCAACTTGGACCGATGCACATGTGTGCCTGGTCCGACGTAGTAGATAACTGACTGGTTTGTTAGTGTCAATGTAAGATCTTATACCTGCTCATAGAGTATATATATATATATATATATATATATATATATATATATATATATATATATATATATATATATCAGAGAGGGAGACTTGTCAAATCAAATTATGTGGAGTAGAGTTTCGGACTTGTTATTCAACATACATGAACAATGGTGATTTAGACTAGTGATATTGGTTTATGCTGAAAATTGCCTTTAGACTTATCAGAATATGTTTCGTCACAGTATCACATTATTATTATTATTATTATTTTTATTATTATCATTAACATAAGTATTCCTAATAAAACCTTTAATTACTTACATTGACGAGATAGCCTGCCAGAGCATACACTATAAAGAAAGAAATTAAAATATATCAATAAAAAAATGGGACTTGTTGCGAGAACATAGCTTAAGTTAAAAAGTGCCTAAATCTATGTATATCCAACTATTATTAATTATTATCAGAAGGGATTTTGTGGGGATCGTAGTAATTTCAATGGTTAAGATCATGAGTCAGTTGAAGCTAGAACACCATGGAAAACCTGGAAGCACTGGACGGCCGTTTCGTCCTATTATGGGACTCCTCAGCAGTGCTCATTCACGACCTCGCCCCCTGCGAGATTCGAACCCAGGACCTACTGGTTTCGCGCGCGAGAACTTGACCACTGAGCCATAATCGGACGAAACGGCCGTCCAGTGCTTCCAGGTTTTCCATGGTGGTCTAGCTTCAACTGACTCATGATCTTAACCATTGAAATTATTATTAATTATCTCAAAGAGGGTAAGATCAAAGGATTGAAAAGAATAACGTGTGTTCATTTAATTTCGTCGGGTTTTCACCAACCACTTACAATCTATAATATTAATAATTAGATAAAATTTACATAAAAAAACGTTATAGAATAATTTATTGCTTTTATTCACACATGAATGGGCTATAATACTCTTTAGGATAGTGTTATCTTTTTAATTGGGATAAACGAGGAAATTAATCATGCCCGTGATGAATGAAGAAAATCACATATACTCAGTGTTTTAGATATTGGTGAACTTCACAATAATCTTTAGATTTTCTTCTAAAACATAAAATTCGGAACTATGTTAACCAAAACTATGTTGAAATGTTAGACTGAAATACATTGTTTTTTGCACAATATGAAAACCATTACTTAAAATATTCCTAGCAACTTGAACTGCTTTTTAAGTATTACCGAAATATATTCCCTATAACCAAAACTCCATTCATTCGACCCTGAATCTGAAGCGAAATTTGGCTGAGTTGTAAATATGTATCTTTCGAAAGTGCAAGAAACATATATACCAATATATATATAAGAAGCTTATTTCTTCTACTACTAAACCTTGAAATAAATATGAAATTGTAGTAATTATTTACTCGAAATAAATTTACAAATGCATTGAATACCATAAAGTCAAGTTCATACCTAAGATCAGAATCCCTTTCATTGTAAACTTGATGACGCTCAAATAAGGAAGGACTTTTTACAATTGATCGTGAACTTGAAGATCTAGAGGTGCAAATATCATTCAGTGGAGCAAGCAATCTCGAATTATTGGGCTTTTTTGAAGTGGAATTCTGATTTATACTCGCTCGTTCTGGAGAACTAGATGAATAATAACCATTGGTAGGAGAACGAGAAGGTTGTAAGACTGAAGGATGAGGTGAACAAGTGTTTGAACGATTAAATCCATAAGTACAACCTGATGGATGACGAATGCTGTTATATTTAGTTTTGATTTTAGGATAGGGTTTTTTAGTAGTACACTCTAAACCAGACTCACATGTAGATAAAGCAGGTGAGGTAGCTCCAGAAGTACGAGTAACTTGAATAGAACTGATGTTTCTCTCATTGGAATTATATCGATTATCTGCACACGATGAGGATCTAGTTCGTTGGTATAAAATTGCACCATCTAATGATTGCCGTTGTGCTAACTTGCTATATACGGAGCATAGAGATCAAAAATAAAGTAAAACAATGCAGTTTCAGGCTCTTAAAATTAAACTTTAAGATAAATATATCCTTTAAACATTCACAACAAATGATTCAACATTAAAACATTTATGTAGATCAACTATTACTAATGAAAGAAACAATGCAAATGTGTGTCATTTCTTAATTATACTAGTCTCAGCATTTCAGCATTCAAACATATTAATATATCTTTAGTTACATAGAAGTACAAACCTCAGAATTCGGTTACGACTAATAAATTTTGGCATAATTCAAAAATATAAGTGTAGTGGGCGCATCGAGGTTTACAGCCTCATTTCTACGTTTGGTGCTACGTAATTAGTCACAGACATCGTAAGACCTGGAAAAAACGTGTATCAGCTCAAGGCAACATAAATCAAATCAACAGAGAGAGAGAGAGCAGAGAAGAGATAATATTGAACTCAAAGAAAAGCCAAACATAAGAGATCTTATTCAAAATAAACGAATGAGGTAGAAATGCAAAAAGCATGGAATGACACTAAGCTTAAAATTTACATGAAAATAAGGATAAAAACGATAATATTTGAACTGAAATCGATGTCGGACTGTCATTCAACGTCTGTAACCACAGACTATGATTTGTTTGCTGATTTCAGTATGAAAGCATGCACCCATTGACATGACTTAAACGAACAGTCGATGACTTCATGATCTGTTTTCAAGTTTTCGCTTAGCTGTGGCTGCTTTTCTTGCAACCTGTGCATACAACGTAGCATTGCTCGTCAGGATGGGAGTATGGAACTTTCACCATCAAAAGTCTCCTAATATGATCAATTTGGAAATATTTTAAATGTGGCTACCCATATTAGGAGATAAAAGATATGGTTGTTCTTGTCAGCGTCACTGCAATTTGTTGAACAAACGTAAACAATATGATGAAACAGTTAGGATACTAAAAAGTATAAATAAATTTAGTTTACCGTTTCAGCGCATTCTCTTCCCGTTTCTTCTCTCTCTCTTGAATGTAAGCCGTTGGATTAAATCGTCGATTACCTTTTAAGCATGGAAAATGCAAGAAAAAGTAAGAACAGGACCAATCACGGTTATATATATGTATTCTGCTCTAGTTTCTTCAGCCGATTGTGATGTATAGTCAGTCAGCCAAACGCAACATAGAACCTGGTACACGTATAAATTGGTTAAAGTTGCCACACCTCATTAGCATAAATAGATGAAGTTGTTTGGCCAAATAACAGAGTGGTAGAGCTAGCAACAGTATCAATGATAATAGAAAAGATTAGGCATCGAACCTATGATACAAAAAATAAATTAGTAAAATAAAAAAGATTATAAGGAATTCGGAAACTGATAATTTGGGGGAAAACAATCAATGGGTGTGTCTGCGCCATTACAAACTACTTTGAACCATGCCATTCAAAGTCTCTAACAACTCGTTCAGATACTCACACAAACCCCAACCAGGTATTCTACACCTATTAAAATGGCTCAGTTCAATTGTCAATGACTCCATGAACTGATGCCATGTTTTGGTTTGGTCGCCTCCAGCTCTCTTCCAGCCTACTCCTACACCACACAACATCGCCAGTTGAGGCAGACGGTGGTTAGAAATGCATAACACATGTCTCGAACACCTCAGTTGATGAAAATTTAATACCTCACCAATCGATTTACCGTCATTACCTAGTACCCTATTCCCAACATAAGCATTGCTTACCCTGTGGTCACAAAATACACGGGCTGTGCTTTAAAGATACCTATGATGGAACAATAGCAACCTGAGAACATCGTCTATTTTTAATCGCCACGTTTTATACCACAAAGTTGAATGAAGCAAACTGTCCTTTAGTTGACAGGCGGATATTTTGCCTGCACCAGAAGTGACGCAAGTTGGCAAAAGTCAATCGAGCTTCCCGAATCTGTGCCAAGATATCCGTCAGCCACCAAACTATCAAGGCTGATGAAATACCCACGATAGGTAAAGCGACCGATGCATTCAACTACGTCACTCCCTACCGTAAATTCAGGCGCTGATGGACGCCAATCCTGAAGCAACATTGTGCATTTGGAGGTGAAGAATCACAACCCAAACATGCATGCATTGTTGCTTAAGGCGCTCGGGAGACTTTTTGTCAGTGCATTCATCAAACAGAACAAAATCATCTGCGTATTTTAGCCGAACAAGTGAATTTCATAGTAGAAGATTAATCCATGAAAAGTCAGACGATAAGAGTGCCATCTTTAGAAGGATATCTTTGAAAAACTTAAATAAAAGTGAGGAAAGTGGACAACCGTGATGATGGGTTAGCACATAAAAAATTACGATAAGAATATTGGCAAGTGCTACCACTGCAACCAACTAAGTCGAAAATTTCGGTACTTTATGATCCCAAGTAATTAATGACAATTTATTTGTACATGCTAAAATCAAGGCTCCTTAAAAAAGCAAATGTACGAATGTGTCCCATATCAGATAGTTAAGGAACAACATTAGGCTGCTCCAAGTCAAAATATAAACATATAAAAAAAACACGTTTCCCATTCTATACCGTATCCACATCCTTATGGTTATTATGGTTTGAATATCATTATTGACTTAGTTGGATCCACACGTTAAGGTTCTTTATACGAGTTTTAGGAACTTAGTTTTTGAGGTGAGATGAAAACTACCAGTAGGCTTGTCCTTCTATTTTTGATGGTTTCCAGATGACGGCTTTTCACCATAATTGTCATGACTTCAGTGTCGCTTGTTGACTGATGTAAGCACTAAAATGTTCACTTAGAAACCCAAGGGCCCCATAATTGACGTCAGCACAAATCAAGAAGGTATATTTTGAGAAGTTTGTTAGTATCAATATGTGAAAAATAAGTACATCTTGGCTTCAGTATTTCTTGAAATGACATAAGTTAACACTAAGTATTATCTTCAACTTAAACCCAAAAGCTATTGGCAAAATTTAGATATTATGTAAACATTCAGGAAATATGAAGGCTAGTAAAAATAACGTACCAAAATGAAGATATGAGTCCTGATAACTTTAACTATAACAAGGTAGTTGTTAGGAAAAAAGTACCTGATAATGCTCGATCTAGAGAGTTTGTTCGCTGTCTATAAGAAATAAAAGGTTTATTCGACGGAATGGAGCAGATATTGCTAATATTACTAGATTCACATGAAAGTAATCGATTAATTGTTGGACTTGCACTACCCGCTCTACGCCTGCCTATGTTCGTCTTGGAATTCAAAAGTGTAAAGACTGGTTCTTGGCTTTTCCGACGTGGTAAGACATTCGATCGGTTGGCACGACTCACTTGGTCCACTTCATTGTTTATTCTGTGAATGACTGACGCTGAACTGCCAGGCTTTCTGTGTAATGAGCTTTGAAATAAAGAAGTAAAATACAACTAGAAAACAAATAATGATTAGACTTGAAAAGCTGGAGGTCTGGTGTGACGATGTAAGAAATCTGTAAGTCCTTAGTTGTAACTAGATCATAATGTCTAATTTATGAAATAACAACATGTCCCAAACTCAGTGCAGCTATATTCATGTTGTGATCGACATGTTTATGACCGAAATAAGGGAGAACAAAAGTCATATACAAATAAGTAATCTATCTACTATTGTGGCGTGTGCTACTTATGTAGACATAAGTAATATATGACGTGAGTCATGAACAGAATGTCTGGCAGCAGAGAGACGAGAAGATCGAACAACAAAGAATGAAGAAAGAATGCAATTTGTATGAAAATGCAAGAACAAAGAAATTCTGAGTCGTTTGAGACAATTGATAAACAATTTGCAAATTAACGATATAATATATGGTTGCTGGACTTCTGTAACTAGTTCTGTAATTTGTTGTCGAATGCATTCGATTGTCCCCACCTGTGCTTCGTTCACTACACTATGAAAAAATCATGTTGTGATATATGTAATATATGTTTTTAATTACCTCAAACGCATTAACAGTTAGTTTCACGTAGGGCAAACAAATTTGTTTTGATCTGTTAACTCCAAAGGCTTCTATCAGTCTTTGAAGAATTAAAAATGAAGAAATTTCAGGGAACCCAACCTACTTAATACCACTGAAAAGATAAGTGTTCAAAACCAGAAAACTCACAGGTCATACAGAGCCAAGTTACTTTGATTCTCAACTTGGAGGAACTTAGCCCTGACATATTTCTCAAAACTGGAAGTCTTGAAAAATGTAAAATGTGTTGTTTACGCGATTCAACTTAATTATGATAGTATTCATCCAACAGTTCCTGTTGATAGCCAAGACTAAATGAGTAAGTTTTGTAGCTACTTGGTTGATTGTTTAACAATTAACGTTGAATAAATTGAACACAGGTCAGAAATCCATCTTAATGTTTTGTCATGGGTAATAATTTTGTTATTCACTTTTAAATTTGCTGACGACGGTGATGGGATACATACTACCTGGAGGAACGATTTTTGAGTAGTGTGTTTCATATTATCTTACTGTACAATATTGTATAACCCAGCTAAATCAGCTAGCAGTCAGTGTCCAAAGGTGCAATATTTGTTCAGTTGGAGTTTCTGAGCCACTAAATTTGCTTTCGTGAGATATCAATAGTCGGTCACATTTATTATTAGTAGAAACAAGAAACGTAATGACAGTCAAATTCACAATAAATTTTTCTCACATGATAGTAGAAACATCAACTCACCCACCCTTAAGAAAGTATAGTTCTTCAGATAACTGGTCGATTTTACGACGCATACCCCTTTGGTTTATTGCTGAAACTTCCAAATCTGATTGCAGTCGAGCTATTTTGCGGGTATATTCAACCATTTGGCGCGAAGCTTTAGATCTCACTTCATAGAGCTCTGTCTCTAAATTGTTTACGAATTTCCTAAGTTCCATAGGTTTTGCCTTGTCAAAAAACCCACAAGAATTATTGCTAAGGAGGGTTTGGTGACAGGATTTCACTTCATTTAAAGACTCTTTGACCCAAAGAAGCTCCTGTCTTAAAGCCATATTTTCTGATTGTAGCCTGGATATTCTGAAACGGGTAATCAGAAAACTAATGTTTGAGAAACTTGTTAGTTGAAAATGACCTCAAATGATGAATACTCTATTTAAATCCTGAAGTATAAAAGACTTTTTAAAAACAAACCTTAAACGCACTTTGGAACAAATTAACCAGATTTTATAGTCATTAAAAGAATAAAGGGTTTTAATCTATAGACATGCTGTGTAGTAGAAAAAAAACCAAAGTCAAGAAGCCGACTGAATTTTAGAAAACTTACAAACTAGCTTCTGGAAAACAGAAAGTACTATAAAAAATATGGAGATGGAATAACACTAAACCTTGTGAAAAGATGAAGCATGAAGCCAAAAACTAACGCAACGCCGAAAAACATTATTTTATTTATTTATTTACTTTAGCAAATAGGTATTGATACAAGAAGGCACCAAATACATATGCGCCACACGAATCTCAATTGATTTGTGTAAGGGCTGTGATACTGCCCGGGTGCCCAAACCGAAGCAGGTGGCCACACTCCGAGCCTTCGACCTGAACGTCTGACCCACAGTGGAGAATCGTAAGGAAATGCAGTCCCATGGTAGCCGGTGACCAACGATTGGTTCATACGCCATTTGTTCCTTCAGGCAGGATACTGGAGCCCATGTGCACTATTGGTTTTGGATCCGGTTAAAACGCCGGACATTCGCTTTTCGTCCTCTCATTTTTGTAAACAACACCCCCGCCACGAGAAGGCAGTGAGTAGGACTTTCCTGGCAGAGGCTGTATACGCATGGCCATGTGAGAGCATTTTGAGAGGGTGAGCGGACTCTCCCCACTCTCGGCCGTACCAGGGCATTTGAGGGCGCCAAAAGCAAGTGGATACATGACCAGGCAAAGGGAAACTAAAGAACGAGTAGTCAAGCCAGTTACACTACTGAATAAGATCACAGAAAAAGTAACATGCTCCATTCACAAGAAAGTCTAATAATTAGGATCTAACTGCAATAAGTTAATAAAGTTAAAAACGAGTTGGAAAACAGTAGTAGTTACTTTGACAGGTTTAACATAGAATTAATCTGCAATGGGAAATTATCACAGATAATTAAAACTTAACACAACTGTTTAAAATAATTACCCGTCGGTAATTTTAAAATCCCAATAGAACAATTAAAACACTAAAGGATATTTGAACAATGGTTTTCGAAAAATACTTCCTTAACCTCTACCGCCGTAAGTTTGTAAATATTGTGTTACATTGGAAGATATAATTGGATACTCATATAAACGATAGAGTTAAAGAGTATAAACTATTATTTTGCACTCACTCAAAATGCTAACTTTTTTTATAATTCTTATATTCGAACGAAGACTAAAGGAACGGTAGCTTCAAAAATTAATTTACGGACTAATACTATATATATCCCTCTAGCATTTGCTTGCGATTAACCGATTAACTAATATTTTAAGATTCATTACTTTCAATTTATTCTCAGCCCATTATTCAGTCCCCATACTCTCAGCCACCTTTTGAATTAATCATGTATAATTGTAATTCTTTATTTCATGGTGTGATGAGGTCTGGTCCGCTTCTACGCAAACAACGTCTGTCTAAGACATGATAACGATCATGGAATGATGATCACTGGTCTTTTGTTCTTCCTCTTCGTCTGGAGCTAGTCAGTATTAAGCCAACCGTCAAGCATAGAGCATTATTCTCCTCTTGCATATCACGTAATGATTGCTTAAGTTCGTCTATAAATATTGGTTGGTCCTAAGACATAACATTAATGTTAGCAAGCTTCACATGTTTTTTTGTAAACTCTGGCAGATGCATACTGATGAGGGATTAGATATATTACCTGACTTTTAATGCTTCCTATAAAAAGAGGTTAAAGGGATTACATATGCAATTTTTTGTCATATCGTCGAATAAATGGGTAATTTTATTTTAACGTTCTATATCTTGGAGAAATCGGGTGTTAATAAGCCCTGGTTTCTTCCTTTTTTGGGAGCAATTATCTTCTCTTCCACCGCAAAAGAGCTTGAAGACGGAAACGACTAAAGCCAAAGTGTAAGCTTGTTTTTTTTCATAGACTGAACCTCTACAGACACTTCTTATCAAGACTAGTGGCATCAGATTTACCGATGAATACATTCAATAGGAAACTATATATTCTCAGAGATAATTAGTGCAAACACAAGCACAAATCGCCTAGATCACCATTTCATCACTAATAACTCAACGCGAAATTTCTTACTTTGAAATAGCTTCGCAAGTTCCGCTGATATCAAGCTGCTGTTCAGAAAAGCTCTGCAACTGTAAGATTTTATCTTTTAAGTTACCATAGTTGATTGAACACTAAATAACTTGGCCCGTAATTTATGTATCGTGTTTCTATAGACATCGGGGGTTGGACAACCAACAAACATCATCGGTATAGGGTAATGAATTTTGTCGAATTCAGTGGTATAAGATAAGATTAAATACCGCCTATTACCACTGACTGTGACAGGACACCGTGGAGGAAGACAATCATTCAATATCTTCATTTTTCTAATTTCATTCAAATCCTCATAATTTAGGAGATCTAGCTTGAGGAAACTCGAACGCTAAAGCTAGGTCATGAGAAGATACACGAACCTTAGATAAAGCTGATTGCACCATTGAGCAAAATATGTCAAACCTTTTAAAGTTTCCAGTTTTTCTGGTTAGTTCTTCGACAACTAAAGGTTAAAATATCAGAAATCCACATGTAAATACATGAATCTGTAAGAGTACTGTGCCACTCCTCGTTTGTGATGCGGTCAGCTAACTCTAGCTTTAATTGGGTAGAATTTTCCAGATAAAAAGCTGTATCATATATTTTCCCACCAAATTCACATTCACAATATAGATAAGAGGGTAATTCATAAACCATCCCACGTATTACACAAAATATGTGTCAGCCAACTTAAGTTGTAATCCCGCGACAAGTCCTAGCAACCGATCATATATATCATCACAGAGGGTCATCATAATCGGAATAAAAATATTTGTTGTTTGACTTTTTCCATTCACTATGGTCTTTCGTTGTTTTAAAAAATCAGTAATAGGTTTAACCCCTTCGTTTTTTGTGAAAACCATCTTCCTGAGTTACTTAATTCTGACGCTTAATTACCTACTTACCTAAGGGTCTACATCTGGGTGGTAGAGCAATATTTTTTAGCTATGTGAGTGCATGTCATTCGTTATATGCCTTCTGGAGCTGAAGGGTAAGACAAGTTAGTTATTGAAAACAGGAGCGAAATGATACCACGAATATTCCGAACTCGACAACGCCTTGTAGCGGTAAATAATTCCCCAAAATCAAATAGCTCTGTAAGTTTTCCACATTGGATGCTGACCACAGTTTTAGTGGACTCATCTAGCTGAAGGCGCTCGGTCAAGCATCCGCACCAGATCACGTGTGGGAACGCCGTGCTCAACATCTGCCTCAGTCGCTAGCCAGATTAGTGCAAACGATCCTCGATATATTGATAGCTTATCAAATATATCTTCGATCTCCTCGCTTCTGTCTTTTGATTTTACTTGATGGGTGCGCTTCGTATTAGAAGGTGTTACTGGTTAAAGCGTTGTCAAACTCCGAATACCTGTGGCATCTTCATTGGTGAGCCCGACGTGATCTGGTACACCATATTGTAAACTGTGAGTCTGTTCCTTTTTGTGATTTTATATATTATTGTCTTATTTTAATTTCTTTTTTTTTTACATTGTGATATTTTTTTTCCGTGTTTTTGGGTTCATATATATATTTGCCACTCGTTCACCTTTCGTACTTGGTATATTACTATGACTGAACAGACCCCTAAAGTATTTAAGTTAAAGACTGTGTCCCCACCCTCTTTCCAACTTATGCCTTTCTGGCCAGACAACATCGAAGCCTGGTTTTGTTATGCAGAAGCCGACTTCTACGAGCACGGTGTGAACGACACACGTGCACAATTCCTCGCAGTAGTCAAGGCACTACCGCGCGAATTCAACAGGTACGTAACACCTAGTATGTTTACTAGTGATGTTTCTGATCCATACCAAACACTGAAACAGGCCATCCTTAAACGCGGAGATCTAACCGATCGACAAAGGTTAGACCAACTCCTTAACAACATCGACCTGCAACACGGTTCTGCCACAGACATGTTGCAAAGAATGCGAGAAGTCATTGGCCAAAGAACCTTCGATGACGGCCTATTCAAGCAACTTTTCTTATCCAAACTTCCTCAACAGGTGCAAGCTGTTTTGGTCTCGTTCCAAAACAACGCCGTAGACGAACTAGCGGCATCTGCAGATCGCATTCTCGAGGTCACTAGGTCTCCTAAAGCCGAGGTTTTTTCAGTCAAAGAAAAGCCTCAAACGACCCAGAATGACATAACACAGTTATGTCATACACTTACGCGCAATCTCAAACTCGGTAACGACCGTAAACGATCACTTACTCCGCGGAGAAGCACATCACGTAGGCGATCCGTATCTAGAACTCGAGAGACGGATAATCCTGATTGGTGCTAGTACCATAACCAGTACGGAAAGTCTGCCAGAAATTGCAGAAAACCCTACAATTTCCCCAACGCGAAATCCGTCGACGCGAAGAACGTTTCGGGAAACTTCCAAGCCGGCACGCGTTAACGGCGAACATAGCCGTCTTTTATATGTCACTGATGTGATAACGAGAGTTCGCTACCTCGTAGATACTGGCGCAGAGGTTAGCGTTCTCCCAGCTAATTCCGACGACAGACTACACGAGCCTGTTTTAAATCTACAGGCGGCAGACGGAAAGCCTATCGCTACTTATGGCCAAAGGTATGTTTATCTTAACGTGGGTTTACGCAAACCCATTCACTGGATTTTTGTTGTTGCAGATGTTTCCATGCCAATCATTGGTATGGACCTTCTACAACACCACAACTTAATTATCGATACGCGCAAACGGAGGTTAGTAGACGGAAACACTAATTTATCTGTTTGCCTGACTTCTTTTTCTGGTTGCAGGTTATCCCCAGTCACTATTAAGCACACTATAGACCCCTTCTACCAACCACTACTCGATAAATATTCTGGCATTTACCAATCGCAACCGAACTTGCCGTGTGTAACCAGCAATGTTACACATCACATCACGACTACAGGACCACCTGTCTTCTCGAAAGCACGCCGACTGGCTCCCGAAAAGTTAAGGTTGGCGAAAAACGAATTCGACCATATGATAAACTTAGGAATCATACGACCGTCAAATAGCCCATGGGCATCTCCGTTGTACATGGTCCCTAAAAAGGACAGCAACGATTGGCGTCCAACTGGTGACTACCGGAGATTGAATGCAAAAACCATTCCCGATCGTCACCCGTTGCCCCACATTCACGATTTGACAGCTACCTTGAAAGGTGCAACTGTCTTTTCAAAAATTGACTTGGTAAAAGCTTATAACCAAAGTCCTATGGCCACTGAAGACATTCCAAAAACCGCTATTATAACGCCCTTCGGACTCTATGAATTTTTGCGAATGCCTTTCGGTCTGAGAAACGCGGCACAGACTTTCCAAAGGTTCGTAGATGACGTTTTTCGAGGTCTCAACTTCGTACATGCATACGTTGATGACTGTCTAATAGCAAGTCCGGACAGAGAATCACATCTCCAGCATCTGGACATTGTTTTCGACCGACTACAAAAACATGGCATTACCGTAAACATTCAGAAATGCCAAATCGGAACCGAATCCTTAGACTTCTTAGGACACACTATAGATGCGCATGGCATTCAACCCCTTAGGACAAAAGTGGCGGCCATTCTGGATTACCCAGAACCGACCACCATCAAGCAATTGCGCACGTTTAACGGTCTGGTAAGTTTTTATAGACGATTCATACCGAAATGCACGTTACTTATGAAACCCCTTACCGACCAACTTCGTGGAAATGCGAAATCCATTAATCTAGATGATACTACCCGAAAAGCATTCTCCACGGTTAAGGAACATATCGCCCGAGCAGCAATGCTTGCTCATCAGGACCCTAAAGCGCCCATTAGCATCTCAGTAGACGCATCCGACTCAGCAATCGGAGCAGTCTTACAACAATTGGTTAACCACTCCTGGCAACCTTTGGCATTTTTCTCTAGACGGTTGCTAGACACTGAATCGAGGTACAGCACATTCGGTAGGGAACTCCTAGCTATGTATTGTGCTGTCCGGCATTTTCAACACTATATCGAAGGCCGTGAATTTATCATTTTTACCGACCATAAACCACTTACCTTCTCCTTAAGCTCTTCTTCAGACAAGTACTCACCATGTGAGTCTCGACAACTGGACTACATTTCGCAGTTTACTTCAGATATTCGACACATTTCTGGAGCAAACAATGTAGTTGCAGACGCCTTGTCTCGTATAAATTCCTTGAACAGTTTCCAAGGAATCAACCTTTTAAAACTCGCCCAACTTCAAAAAGAAGACAGTGATCTTCTGCACGAGTTGGCCTCAACAACACTTAAACTGCGCATTAAACAGATGGGAACAGGTAACGAAACTTTACTTTGTGACACATCTACAGGTAGGGATCGCCCAATCGTGCCGAAACAATATCGACGCAACGTCTTCGATACGTTGCACAAACTTTCTCATCAAGGTGTTCGTGCAACCATCAAGCTTATAGCAGAACGGTTTTTCTGGCCTGGTATGAATAAAGATGTGAGGGAGTGGGCACGTTCCTGTGTAAGCTGCCAGAAATCTAAGGTTATTAGGCATAACAAATGTCCCTTAGGCTCGTTTAAAACTCCCGATGCTCGCTTCGATCATGTTCATTTGGATTTGGTAGGACCTTAACCAGATTCAAATGGATATTCTTATCTTTTAACATGCGTAGTCCGTTTTACTCGATGGCCAGAAGCAGTACCCATCAAAGATATTACTGCTGAAACAGTGGCCCGCGCCTTCGTGGAGAGGTGGGTAGCAAACTTCGGCTGCCCAACAACCATTACTACAGATCGTGGACGTCAGTTTGAATCTGAACTGTTCCGTTGTCTGACCATGAAACTAGGAATCACTCGCTTTCGAACGACGGCCTACCACCCACAAGCAAACGGATTAGTAGAACGTTTTCACCGACAACTAAAAGCGTCACTATCAGCCTCAAACATTTCTCAGTGGACTGACGCTCTTCCACTCGTCTTACTAGGCATACGTAATGCAGTGAAATCTGACATTAGATACACTGCATCTCAACTCGTTTATGGTACGACCCTTCGACTTCCAGGAGAGTTCGTGGATCCTTCATCCTCTTCGATGGATATGGATCTAACCTCCTACGCGAACAGGTTTACAAACGCAATGCGTTCAGTTAAACCTGTTTCCACTCGACCACAATCAACTGATGTTTTCGTTCAACCTGACTTGCGACATTGTACACATGTCTTCGTACGTCGAGACTCGCATCGACGACCTCTCGAATCAACATATGAAGGACCTTTCAAATTTCTTCAACGCGAATCTAAGTACTATATAATAGATAAGAACGGAACCGACGAAAGCATCAGTATCGATCGCCTCAAAGCAGCGTATTTAAAAGGAAATCCTATTCACGTCGATTTTCCTTCAATACAATCGCACGACACAACTCCTGCGCTTATAATGCCTCAATCGACAGCAGACACACACGTTGATACTGCGACAGTATCCGAAAATAAACTCAAAACAACGCGTTCTGGAAGAAGAGTAAGATTTCCAGAACACTTGAACGATTACTGCAAGTAAGACACACGTTAACATTTTATATCCCCTCGATTTTCCCTGGTACTATATGTAATTTTTTTAAAAAAAACCTGAATTCAATATGCTTATATATTATTATTTTTTTTATTTAAAAAAAAAACAAAAAATAACGATATTATAAAATTTGAAATATTCCCATAATGTAAATTTAGAACAACATATATAAGCGAACAATATT